GGGCTGCCTGTCACCCTGCCAAACCTTGCTAACCACTAACCAATCTTGGTGTGAAAGCAGCTGTGACAGGCAGCAACAGAAAATCCTAGCGTCAAATTAATTGGCTGGAAGGGACCCAGCAAGACACCGGTACGCTGTCTCGTAACCACTGGATGAGTCAATTGTCACCATCCTCAGTGTTACAGATGTTGGACTGGGTGCAGGCTTTGATTCCCTGAACCAGCCCATGCCAACTACTCCCCACAAAATAATCTAAGGATGAAGCATTTATTTTATGGGTTTATTTCCCCATTGGGAGACAATTTGCGGCTCAGTGACGTCTCCCTCCAGGCTCGAAACAGCTCTTTTGCAAGCAATGCCAGAGAAATGCCACCATCACTTTTACAACTTTTTTTGTTTTCTTCCCAGAGAAGTGCATTTCTGTCCTTGGAGCATTTTAAATGCGCAGATTGAATCTGGCAGGGGTTACCAAACACACACATCGCATGGGAAACAGAACGAAGGAGGGAAGGAAGGGTACAAGCAAATATTTCTTCAGGATTGTCAGGCCTTTCAGTTACCATGGCAGTATGTTTCCATGGAAGCCAAATTTGAAGCCTGTTGCTGCCACTGTAGTGGCCCAAAGAAAATTATTAGCTTTGAAAATTAACCAAGCTGCTCTCTACCTTGAAAGCCAGCCCACCCACGGCCCTCAAAAAAAATAACAGCATCTTTCCATCCCTGATAAAGGATTCAATAAACACATGGGGAAGGAAGAGAGAACAGAAGAAAATACCACACAATGAAAAACAGGAGCTTCCTTTTATGCAACCAACAATGCAGAAACCACACTGGTAAGTACAAGGCTGAATGCACTTAGTGAAATATTGCACACAGAGGTCAGCAAAATCCTCCAAAGCATCCTGTGCACCGCTCCCGAGGAGACAGAAGGGGGACAATTTGAGACTAGTGCTGTTTGGTTGCCACTCATTTGAAGTTCCCCCCCCTTAATCATGCTGATGCCTCTCACCTGGCTTGCTCGCCCACCTCCCAGTCAACATTAAAGATCAGCTTAGGCACTTTGCTGTTCTCCTTGCTGGTCAGAACATATTTTCCAATTCTTGAAAGTCACTTTTTGCCTTACCCACCCCATTTCCCCACCAAAAGGACATTTTCTGTGACCCCTTTCATTTTTCAGAAGCCAGGAAGCCCACAGAAGCTGCCTGGTGTATTTTATCACCAATAACTGAAAAACCATGGCACAGAGATTCAGCCTTTTCCAAAGGGGAGACAGTGGGATTCAGCAATGAAGCAGAGTGATGTTCTACAAGCTGCACGAACAAGAGACATGCAGGTGACAAGAGCAAACCCAGCACTATTTCAAAAGGAGAGATCACCGAGTCTTGGGATTTAGTGACTTCTCACCTAGAGACAAGTGCCTCTTTTCCCACTGACATGGAAAAAAGCATCATGAAGGCCTACCAAATTAGGCCTTCTGCAGATAAAACACCTAAAGAAAGCTGAACTCATATTGAAAGAGAAAGATCAGAGGGAAAGATGCATCTGTGATGAAAGGCTGTTGGACCATCAGCTGAATCTGACCTCATTTTGAGGCAAAGAAAGATCCAAGACCTGTATCACAAATATTGCTCTTGTCCCACCACTACAATGTCTCCTGTGCTCTCTGCTACCTCTCTCGCACAGGAGGAAGAGAGAAGGACATAGTTTTAAGCACAATTAAAATAAAAACATTTGACATGAATATGACAGATTTCCTTTGAAAGAAAGGCAAGTACAAAGAAAGGGCCTGCCACCTGGCTTGGGATCCCTGCTCTGTTCAGATTTCACTGGAAAAGGAACTAAAACCCACCATGTTTGTCACAGATGGGCTGATCTGATTACACCAGGCGCAAGCCTCACAGGACACTGGGGAATGCTGCATCCCGCCTCTCCGGCAAAACAACCTTCCCCACCCAAGCTCCATCATAAACTCTTAGCCACAGGCCTCCAAAGAAAATAAAAAAAATTACTCTGCAAGAGGCAGTCAAAACTAGACTACACCCAAGAGCTGAACAAGTGGCCTAAATCAACGCCTCTTCCCTGTTTGGGGAGGTTTTCTCGGTTCCCAGCATTACGCAGCTCTGGCATCTGCTACCTGCTGCTTGCCTGCCTCTCTGACAGAGGTTACTGCCCTGCAGAAGGAAAAGCACATCCAGATTTTAGCTCTTCAGTGACAAGCCCGACCTCATAGCTTCAAGCCCTGAACAGATGAGTCTGCAAGTATGTACCAGCAGGGAAGAAGGATGCTCTAACACCGGTCACACGCAGAGGCAGCTGCTGGCAGCATCCGCAAGGCAGCAAAGAGCACCGCAAGAGCCAGATGGGGCCCCGAGCCTTCCGCTGACAGGCTTCTCGTAACCATTGGGCACAGTTTAACCATTTGGTGTGAGTCCTGCTGGGCACTTCCAATGTTTCACACACTGGTGCTTAAAATCCTTTGCACTGCACACATCCAACAGCTGAAGCGTTCTCCTCACACAGGAAGTGGCTTCAAGCCCAGACTGCAGTTCCACTAGCCGAAAGGTGATGGCATGAATATCCCCAAACTAAGGTTTTCTTTGGACATTTCACTCTCTCCTCCCCAGCTCTCTTTTACAAACGGAAAGCAAACCTGTTAGCAAGCCAGCTTCTTTCTATGCTGGGTTTTGGAGAGCAAGAGAGAGGGGAAGGGATTGACTGTCCAGACCAGGAGCTCAGCCAAGAACACAGCAACAGCAGCTTTGGGCTTTGCTCCGCTAACTCACTCTCTAGGGCTACCCCTACCACCAGCAGAAGGCAGCAGGCACAGAGTAAAGTCTGCAAAGGCCCACACTCGAGTAAATGTACCAGACCCCATCGTCTCTGGGCAAGCAGCACCATTAGTGTCCCCTTTTTCACACTTCCATGCTGCTGCTTAAACTTCTGGAGTTTGAAAGGCTTCAGGGCTCCAGCCAAGTGGGTTATTTTGCATCATACCACCACTCCTGGCCAAGCTTCAGGATTTTTGCTTCATGCACAAATCAAAGCAAAAAACATGAAATGTAACAGTGCAGATAAATTCCTGAACTCACTGGCCCTCAGTTATCTAATCTCTTACGAAGGTCAGAAGGAGCACAGGATCCCTTCCAGCCTTCTCTGTGCAGTCATATCTTCATTGTACCTCAAGAAAATGGAGATGAGAGGAGCCTCCTTCTATTGTTTTATCAATCTCTGAGGGAGGTATGCTGAGTCTTCAGGGACTTAAATTGTCTTCAATCCAACGTCACCCAGAAGGAAGGAAGGAATTCTCCTTCTCTTGATTTTTGGTAACATAGAAAAAACCACACAGAACTGGAAGATATGTTAAATCCGTAACTTAAAGCATTTTAATAAAAACAAAGCAAAATACATTTCATAATCCATCCACTGGCACAATGTATAAAAACCTTTAAATAACAACTTTAATATTAGTCACAAAATACAGCGTGTTGTATAAAAATAGCTGTATGCACACTAAAACATAATGTAAAATCACTCTGAATAGGCCATGCAAAGACATTCGGCTTTGACCTTTCAATTTCCAAGAGCTTGTTGGATCTGCTACTTTATTCTCATTCTGCTTGGGAGGGTTTTGTGCTGGTACGTGGGGACCGCTTCCTCCTCCCCCTCTCCACCCTGCATGCAATGCCCTGGCAAAGGGTTTCAGAAATGGCTGGCAAGTTTAAGGTGCGTCATGTCGGGCATCTTAGTAGCCCCATTTTCACAGCTTACGTTTCAGAAAGTGCTCAGCATTCGTGTCCTTCTCCATGGACACCTCACACCTCACCTTGGTCACTCAAAATCCTCAGCTTTTCAGCCAGTACCCTTCCAAATTACTCCGGACCCCTGGTGCACCACTGTACTAAACCTGGAAGCAAAAATCTAGACACCCAGCCCAAGATCACTGCAGGAGGCAGAATGCAACAGCTGCAGCACCATTTTTGCACAGATGTACCTCTGCATTTGATAATCCTAAATTATTCACACACCAAAATTCACTGAAGCCTGTTCATTCACATTAAGAACTCCAGGTAACACACACAAAAGGACTTGGAGAAATACCAGTTTACAGAAGGGAAGGTAAAACTGAGGATAGCATTAAGATGGAAAAAAAAAAACAGATACTAAATATAAACTGTTAGATAAACAGTCTGTTATACTGTGGTTATCAGACTTAAGAATGTAACTGCCAGAGAAGGGGACATATGGGACACACAAAAAGCCTCCCCCCCAAAAAAAAAGAGATGGTATGAAATACATTTTAGTTAAAAAACAAAAATATGTCAGATAAAGAAATAACACACCCCCAGCTTTCATCCCACATGCTGACATACAAACTATCAACAAGGTTTAAAAAAAAAAAAACCAACCCTGTCCTCTTCATCTCTACAAGCCTGAGCGATCCTTGCATCTTTACATCCTCAAACAAGTTAAGCCCAATGAAGGTAACGGAGACAGAGATCCGCTCAGTCATCATCTTTGTTTCCTGAGTCTACAGAGAGAGAGAGAAGGGCACTGTTGGTTGAAAAACAGTCCCTGCTGCTGACACTAGAAGCAGCACCTCACAAGATGTACCATCGAGGAGAGCAGCCATAGGCAGGGAGAGACTTCATGCTCTGCCAGGCACAGCAAGAAAGTGGGGTTTTTTCCTGATGTTTTCAAGTTCGCATTTTAAAGCATGCTCTTCTAAGAAGAAAATAAGGAAAGCTTAGTGATTTATCACCTCAGATAATACAGCAGCAAACCCATCTTCTCTGGTTTAAAAAGATCAGTTAAATTATCTTAATGCACCAAATCTGACAGGCAAAAAACATTCCCATATAAAGCTGTCCCCTTAAAGTTACAAGTCACATCACAAGAGCAAGCTTCTAATCAAAGTGTCAAAAGCAGAGAAGCTTTTATCAGCGCTGAAAATCCAAGTAAGAAAACAGGCTGATCTTGCCAATCCATAGCAGGGAAGAAGTTTAAAAAGCTTTATGGGGAACTGGCTGAAAGTCACTGTTTTTGGTGGCGTGCGTCATTGCTCTGCGCTTGGCGAGGCGGGACTTGGATGGAGGAGAAAGCTTCATGGAGCACACGGCATGGGCAACATTCTCCTGCTCTGCGCTGAGTTCATTCTCATGCTGAGACAACTGGCGGTTAAGGGCTATAGCCTCAGCAGCAAAAAGCGTCAGGTCTTTTGTGCTACTGTTCCTTTCAAGGGAAAAGGAGAAAGCAGTTACAACACAAAGTCACTTCACCTGGTTACCCCCACAGCAGGATATCTATTTCCAGGCAGTTTTGTTTTTTCTCTCAAAACATTGACACAGCAGACAAAATGACCAGTTAATATTTGCATCCCTCCTTATTGCAAGGACCAGCAACATGTGACAAAAACACTTTGGGATTTTGGAAACAGCCACAGTTCCAGTCCTCCTTCTGGGAAGTCCCCCAAGATGCCATGCTTAATTTCTACATGTTAAAAAAGGATGCGCATATGGGGCAACATTGTCGTCTGTCTTCAGAGAACTGCAGTCCTACTATAATTTCGCATCTGGCTTAAGGAAATGCATTTCTGATGGGAAGAACAACCTGGAATCGCCAGTGGCGGACATGGAAATAGAAACAGAGATGTGTGACTCAGGCTCTCTGGCATACGGAATCTGCCATCCAATCACTTTAAATGAGGCTTGCCCTGCTCACAGTTAAATTGATACTGTGATTACCACCAACTACAATGGAAGTCAGATCCACGTCTGCGTATATGATTATTCCCCCGTCAGAATGTAGTCTCTTTGGATAATGCACGCCTTTATGCCTTTTTTCCCCTCCTGGGCAGCAAACTGCCAAAACTATCATTATTTTCTGTCTAAGATTAGCACTGCACCACATGAATCCTCTCCAATGCTTTTCCCACAAACAAGCAAGATTAGATCATAAAGAAAAAAAATCACAGAGCTTTAACATTTCTGATGCAGCCCAGAAAGCCAACCGTATCCTGGGCTGCACCAGAAGAAGTGTGACTGACTGGTCAAGGGAGGTGATTCTGCCCCTCTACCCCGCTCTTGTGAGACCCCACCTGGAGTACTGCGTCCAGCTCTGGGGGCCCCAGGACAAGAAAGACAGCTGTTGGAGAGAGTCCAGAGGAGGGCCACGAAGATGATCAGAGGGCTGGAGCACCTCTCCTGGGAAGACAGGCTGAGAGAGTTGGGGTTGATCAGCCTGGAGAAGAGAAGGCTCCAGGGAGACCTTAGAGCAGCCTTCCAGTACCTAAGGGGGCCTACAAGAAAGCTGGAGATGGACTTTTTACAAGGGCATGTAGCTACAGAACAAGAGGTAATGGGTTTAAACTAAAAGAGGGTAGATTGAAATTAGATGTTAGGAAGAAATTCTTTACTGCGAGGGTGGTGAGGCACTGGCACAGGTTGCCCAGAGAAGCTGTGAATGCCCCATCCCTGGAAGTGTTCAAGGCCAGGCTGGATGGGGCTTTGGGCAACCTGGGCTAGTGGAGGGTGTCCCTGCCCATGGCAGGGGGGTTGGAACTAGATGGTCTTTAAGATCCCTTCCAACCAAACTGTTCTATGATTCTATGTTCTTAACAAAATTAGTGCTTCACATTTATGAAGTTCCACTCTCAGCCAGGGATCTTACCCCTTGATTTATCACCTCCTATCTCTCCCCATTCTATCAGTAATAATTCTTGGCCGAGTTTACAGGCATTTAAAAAAAGTTTAAAAATTACCTTTGCAGAACTTGAGGGGTTGGTAATCCCCTTTCAGGAGCCTGCTAGAAGAAGCAGGTAAGAAAAGTTAGTTACATATTAGCAGCTGAGAACCAATCTTTCCTAAGAGAGAATGATAAAAAACAGGCAACTCCCCTAAATCTTTACAATTAATGGATATTGCACATAAACTAATTCTCTGTGAGTTTACAAATCACTGTTGACACGTTTCATAATCCATCTCCCCTCACAGAAAAATACCACAGTTTGCAGGTAAAAGACGAAAGCTTTGGAAGCTCTCCAAAGGGTCCATCCCTTCTTTCCTGAACTGGAAACTAAAGCAAAACAAGATACTGCTGTTCTTTTAAAACGGTATCTACCAGCATTCTACATTACTTTATTAAAGAGTAACATAATAATTCGTGTACTGCAGAGCCTGGTATTCACAAGAACACCATTTAAAATGCATAAAGCAATAATTAAAGAAAAAAGCCAAACACTTAAAGCTTGACAGATTCATCCAAATATTTACTACACAGAGCTCCAGAAAGAATAAAGCTACTGTATATCGTTTAATTAATCAAGATAAGAGCACTAAAATCACACAATGTCCCTGTTAAAAGTTTAAAGACAGGGAACAGCTTGTTTATCACTTTGGAAGAAGAATAACCGTCAAAAAAAATATAAAGGGGAATACATACTCCTTGAAGCCATGAATGTTGCAAAACTTGAGCGGCACTAAGTCGTTCTTTGGCATCACGAACCAGTAACTTTGAGATGAGATCTTTGGCCTCAGAGGATATATGCGACCAGTCCTTGTCAGGAAATTCATACTTGCCTTCCTGAATGCTCTCAAAAAGCTTGTTCTAGGAAAGAAAAATTTCTTTAATTTAAATAGCAACTAGAGTGCAGCCAGAAGACTTCTCAGGTGTGATTCTTCTCATTCCATTTTATCCACCTAATGTGGTGGATGACAACCGAAACCATGCAGTCTCCTTATGGAGTCAATGAAGAGTGACAGGCAGCAGCCTAAGATGGACGATACCTTGTTTGCTGAAAACACCTTCCCCTCCCCACCCTCCCCGTAACAACGCAGCCAATGTACTCAGTTTTTAAAAAGAATAAAGTCAGGCCTTGCATGTGATATCCACAGGGGGCTCAATTTTTATCTGAGGAATTGTGGTGACTACCATAAACCAGATCAAGAATTACAGAATGCAGGAGGATTGCAAGGTGGGGGAGAGGATGAGGAGAAGCTCCAAGATCTCACATCACGAGGACAAAGAGGCAGTTTCCAAACCTTACTTTAGAAAGGGATGTCATCACTCAACTTTTATATTACCACCCTCACCTCTCAGTGGCAGCTTATCCTCCCAAAAACTGGTTGGGTTACAGACACAGCTCTTCATTGCTGGCACTATGGCAAGTCTTACACCCGAAGTTCAGGGGGCAAACTATGCTCTCCCACACATGCCCAGGACATGCACATTCACCTGGCAAACTCTGCAGACTTCTCCTCTGTCCCAGCCACAGTCTGTGCCACAGTTGCCCACAAAAGGGGGGTAACCACTGAGCATGATGTACAGAATCACTCCCAAGCTCCAAAGATCACACCGCTTATCATAGAATGTGGCCTCCTCTGTGAAGACTTCAACCACTTCAGGTGCCATGTATTCTGCAGACCCACACTAGGAAAACAAATTCAAGCAAGTTTTCAAAGGGAGGGTCAAATCAAGACAAGGCTCTGGTTTGTCATTCTCCTTTCTTTATAGTAGGCAGCTCAGTCTAAAAGCAGAATCAGGCATCAGGGAACACAGAGGTTTACTGCTGGCTTTCACTGCAGGTCTCATTTTGTGAGGACAAATCACAACTGCTGCATCCCTCAAAGGTCAAATGGAATTGCCAAGAGCTTTGAAACATTTTGTGAGCATACCGCACAGAAAAAATTAACACATTTAAGGCGTAAAGACTACAGAAAACTAACAGAAGGCAAAAGAGTTCCTACTGGTTTTTAGCAGAATCGTATGATTCCATATGAACGTATAGTCCTTTATACAGGGTCAAAATATTAATTCACATATCTCAGGTTTTTAAACCTTATCCATTAGTTATTAGGCTTTTCAGAAAGTAAACAAGTATATCATGGGAGGTGATTTCTGTAAGACTCCTGCAAAACTGTCAGATTTTTCTTTCACAGTAATGCCAAAAGCATAGACTGTAGTTTTTCAAACTAATGTGTATTATTAAGCCACACACTGATTACAGAGCTTGCATTGCCTTTAGCTCATGGTTATTAGCTACAGAACCCAAAAATGGGGAAATGAACACAAAACTAAGGTTCAAACTCAGTCCATAAGCACACAAAACATCTCCATTAAAAGCTTCCTCTTTTGATGGGTTAAGAGACAAACAGGATCAACGTGTTACTTTCTGGCCAACAAGAAAATTAATATGATGAGCTCCTGAGCTTTTGTATTTTGTTCTATAACTGGGAAACCAAGACAGTATTTACCACTCATACACCTGCTTTAAATGAACTATCCACCACTGGAGGTAGCTGCAGTAAGTCCTTGGAAGCTCTCCTCTGGAGATAAAGAAAAATTGTTTTATAGTAGAAGAGAAAAAGATTAAGCCATAGTAGGTCTCTTACCGGCGTTGTTAATTCGGGAGTAGTTATTGGAGTACATGCACTGTTCAGCTTCACCCCACTACCAAGATCAAAGTCACATATTTTTACTGGTGATACCTAAAAACAAGGACAAAACAGTAAGAGGTCTAGAAGACTGGGACTAATGCAATATATATGAATACAGTGCCACATGGAAAAACCCAGGACAAAACCCAAGTTATTCTAGCAGGAGGACTAGTGAAACCCAGTCTCTTACAGGTATATTCCACTCCTTGCATTTGCCAACTCTGTCCCAGTTGCTCCCATGTCCCCAGCATTTGACGCTATTACATTAATTTTTTACTAGCCTAGGTAAGTGCCAGTACACACTGCAGCAGTTTGGGAACTATACATAACATGACCAGCTGGCCTCTAAGTGTTGCTCATCCTGCCTCAGAACAGATGAGATGCTAAGTTGTAATTGCCATGCCCTAAGAACACTTGGGTTTTTATCTCCTAGCCGGATTCTCACATTTTTACAACTTACAGAAGAATTTAGTCTCTTCCAGGCTTCAGTTCTATTAAATTTAATTGAAGATCACTAATGGGTTAAAAAGTCTTCAAGAAGAAAAAGACAGAACATGAGGGCTGTCTTTGGAAACCAAGTTAAAAAATATACTACAGAAGGTTAAGAGACCAGAATAGCACCTTTTCTGGAGATTCGCATAGGATGTTTTCAGGCTTCAGGTCCCTGTGAGCAATACCTAAACAAGAGTACAAACATTCATCAGAGAAGATAGTCTCCCATTTTCTCTCTCATTACCTCTCTTTATTAGAAGGTGGCCTGGGAAATATTCTATGCCTGAGTTTGCAACACAGCCCCCCCTTAATGATACTGCAAATAATTGAATTTCAAAATGTGTTTGTTAAAAGTCACTGTTGCATCCTGCTATGCCTTTGTCATCCTTAAATGTACACGAGAGTCAGTCAAGCAAGTAAGAACCTGCTAACATTGGAATTTTTTGGCTTAGCCCAAATTAATTATGTTAATTAAAACCACCTTAAGGTGACTAACCTGTAGGAAAGTTTACTTATGTACAGTTTAGTCAGAAGATTTTTGTGCCTTCTACAGTAAGGTCCTTCTTTCCAGAGGGATCGATTGGTGGTTTGCTGAACTCCTACCAGCACAAACAATACCTGAGACACTCACACACACCCCACCACCACCCCCAGTTCCCAGGTGAAAATATCATCCCTTTAACAATGAGGTACATACTCATTCCTGAAGTAAAATAAAAATTTAAAGGTTTGATTGGAGATGCAGAAGAAAAGGCCAAAGGAGAACCAAAGGGCTTCTACATTCATTCAACTACTAACAGAATAGGTAAACCCAACAGGGAAACACAAAGTTATCTACCTGTCGAATTCACATGCAAAGGTGGTTCTATGTTGTCAAAGCAGTTCCTCAAATGCCTAAACACAAAATTTCTTAAAGTTCTCCAACTAGTATGATCAAACTTCATGGGAAGGCAGAGAATAAGAACCAAAAATCAAATCAAATGAGCAGCTTGGCTGTAATTTAACTGCACTTTAGCTTTGCTTAAAAAAATTATACTCCAAGCACACCTGATACTACTACAGAGTATGAGAAAAAAAATATCCCACCAAATTCTAGGTAAGGGAGATCCTAATGTCTTTTCTTCAGCATACTACTCCGCAAGACATGACTTAACATATAACATTTATAGCATAGCAGAGCACTGATCTAAAGGAATCAGAGCTTTCATAATGATGCAGTTCATGTTCCCTGTGCATAGAAGATGGGAAACATGACAAATGAAGATGCCCTGTGCTGACATTACAGCAGGCTGTCAAAACTCCCAACACTTGGCTTGGCTTGCAGTGTGAAACCCAACAGCACTTTTTTGTATTATAGTTTGAATTCAAATGTCTGATTATATAACATTTTATTTTGCAGTTGCACACAGTGCTGAGAAGAGAAAACAACTGCCTTTAAACACTCCTCCAGTGGATTATTAGCAATAAAGCACACATATCCCAAGTGAGTGTAAGGCAGTATAATCATCCAGCTGAGTTTTAAACTACTCCTGGTAAAAGAATTAGTTGTCCTCATTCAAATGTTTTTTAAAGCACCTAGTTATAGCACTTCACTGTTAAGCTGTGCTATAAAACTGCTTTAATTTCCTGTTTACTTTAGTGTTCTGTATGCTACTTACTAATTATTTTAATGTCACAGGAACAATCATAAAAAGAACAATAAAATGAAAAGGGATGGTGTTGTAGCCAATTCTGCAAGCCATGTCCCCACTGTACCAATTCACAGCAAACGACAAGAACGAAAGTGGATTGCTGCTTTAAAGCCATTTTAATGAATCACTCCCATCTCATTTGGGGCAAGGGAAATTAAAACTAAAAGCTGAGAAAGAACTACAGAAAGAGGTTAGCTGAGTCGATGTTAAAGTTCCTTGAACAGCACTCCTAGACTTTCAGCTATTAAGCAACCTACTATAGCCTGAACACATTGAATAAATATTTCTCCACATGTTCAGCCTAAATTTCCCGTTCCTTATTTGGCCCGTATCACAAAGTGAAAATCTTCTAAACACAGGTATTCAAAGAGTACATTCTCTGCAGGCTTAAAGTTGAGTTATCACATATGAAGATTACCTAAAATCTTAATCCAAACCAAGCTTGTTTCCACATTTAAATGAACTTCTAGTAACGTAGTCACAACACGTGACAAGATCCATATTCCTCAGGTTTACCACTTCATTTTTATGCATTGCTACACTTCTCTTTCTTTTTATGGGTTCAACCTATCGTGGCACCCATGTTGTGATTCCAACTCAAGCACATAAGCAGTCCTGTGACTTAGAAGTAAAGCCTACAATTAAACATTTATTGAACTGGGGCCAGTACCAAACAACTTAGACAGCAAACATAGATCTGCTGAGCATCTGTAAAACCTGGCTAATCATGACAGCAAAATGCACAGAGAGAAAAGCTTATCAGAATAAATAACCAATAAACACAACCTCCAATTACACACCATTCTATTCAGAGGTAGTCACTGTAATCAAATGAAAGCAAACATTAACTGAAGCTGCTTAATCTACGCAAGACCAGGTAATCACGACACAGATAGCTTTTGTATCACATTCAACACGAACATATACTCTGGGATGATCATAATGCACACAGATATTTTGAAATGAAAGAAAAGCACTCCCAAGTAGAAAAAACATCTGAAAAAAATTTTAACATAAAAGAACTCTCTGTAAACAGAACTGCTTTTAACTTTGAGCAAATCCCTAATGAAATGAGGGCACCTTCAAACAAAGACTGTGGTTCACTTGTAGGTCTCTCAACCCAACAGTGGGGGACTAAAAGCTACTACAAAGAAAGAGGTCTTGTAACCAGCAGAAATTCTGGATAAATACAGAAAGACATCTCTGTAGACCCAAAAGAGGAGGAAATAAAAAAGAACATTAGCTCCCTTCAAAGTAGGGAAGCTTTACATGGTAGCTTAGGTAACAAGAACAAGCAAACAGATTCAACCCTAACGTTAATTCTCCCTGGACACCGATTTAACTTTTTTTCTTCAAAAGGCTACACCATCTTAACACAGCTGATTACTTAAACTACCATATTATGAAAATAATATTATAGAGGAAAACAGCATAAGTCATCTGGCATTGCTATAAAAAGAAACGCTAGCAAAGGCTGACTACTTACAGAAAAAAGTGTATAATACAAACCAGTAAAGATGGAGCCAGCCTTCTCTTACCTTTTGTATGAAGAAAATCCAGAGCAGAGGCAATATCTCTCACCACTTTGCTAGCTTCTCGTTCATTGAAGTGCTTCCGCTTTTGTATATGGGCCAGGATGGAACCTGTTAGAGTAAAAGGTGAAAGGGAAAACCTTAGTACAAATGCTGCCTGGGCTGAGAAAAGGCTTTGTCAATACAAGGATAAAAACGCAATAGCCACTACTAGTCTGCCCCAAGGGGAGAACTGATCTCAGTGCGAACAGGAACAGAAGTACTTTAGAAAAGTTACTTGCAACTAACACTCTGTCCTAGTACATTTACATGGCAGAAACTCCAATGTCACAATCCCATGTTTTTATATGAAAAGAGCCTCAGAAAATAATGAGCTAGTGCCAAGTATCATGAATCTGTAACTTTATTGCTCCTATTTTATAACAGCCATTCACAGCAGGCAACTTCTGTGGACCAAACAGGGGAATGACTAAGAAAAATGTACAACTGAGCAGCTTTAATACTTAAGCATGCTAGAACGTAACTTTCAAACACTGCAGCCTTCTAGTTTAAGCACAGCATGAGAGGCAATCTCCTTTTACCACCCCAGGACGACTGGTCTGTTTTCCACACACTGTGAACAGTAAAGACTTGCTAATAGTACTAGTAAAACTCAAACGCCAGCTAAGGATGTACTTCAGCAAAACCCACCCTCCCCCAAAGTCACAGGTGGCCATGCTCAAACTCCTTCAGTTACCACAGCCACAGGAAAGCAAGGCTGAAAATGGAAGGCCCAAGTTATGCCCCAACCTTGTAGCTAACATCAGTCTCTGAGACTGGAGTTACTAAAGTAAGGCTTCCATTGAAGTTTAATATTCTCATTCTTGCTAGCCACACTGCTTATATCCAGAATCTGTATTACATCAGAAACTGGTCTGACCCTTAATTCCCATTATTTCTTTCTTCAAACCCACATACCTAACACTTCAAATGCTGAAGTCTTTCAAAGATAAAACTAGCCTCAGCCCTAGCTGACCACTGTAACAACAGTGGCTAAGAGAGGGAAGAGGTGTAGCATTATTATCCTCTCAGCAGCCACGCAGGTACACTGACAACCATAGTCTCACAGTCAAAGAGGGTTAACTAATGGATGAATGTGGAGATGGGAAAATAGACAAATGCAGATTCATCCCAGTCAAGCCCTACTACAGCTAATTTGTCAGAGAAGTCTGTGCATTAAGAGGAACACTGTTAGAGGAAACCACAATGAAATGATGCAGTAATTTCAAGGGAAGGTAAACAAAAGTTTTTACTCAAGTAAAAAAACCCAAGTCGTTCTCTTTCTTAAAAAAAGTTCTGCATCTATACTGAAACAATCTGCATTTCTTATACATATGGTTTGCTACTGAAAACCTTCTTGACCAGTGACAATAGATTATGTTCTACAGACAGAAGTATACTCCTTCAGAAAGCCATTTTTTCTTTGAGGGGTGGGCCATGCTTTTAACTCATGGCTTTGCACATCCGTGCAATTAATGGATACTGTAATTATGCTCAATGCAGACAAATGTGAGAAAGTCCACAAACTGCTTGATGTAGCCTTCTCATTCCCCAGCAGAATGTTAAATGCTAGAGATCAGTGACCACACATGCTCACTTGACTGGACCTCAAACAGCTGCAAGCATACTGCTTCACAATTACAGCAATCTGAGGCAGAAGCAAGACATTTTTCACAATAGTGCTCCGTGAGGTTCAGGAAATGAAGTCAATCCTACATCAAGGGAAAGTGTTACTAGAGTATATAGATGCTGTACTAAGATCATGTATAATACCTGACATACTGTGCGTCTCCCCTTGGTCTGAAGGTACTGTGACCTAACTATATTCCAAAGCTTCCACTTGAATAGAGCTGACATTTCCATCGCTTAACTACAGAAAGGGATTGCAAATGTATGACCAGAACCATCAATATTCAAGAATAACCATACTGCAAGCTTTGTATAGTATTTCCTCTACTACTACTTTGTCTTAAAATCCTCAAGCATTTAAAACAAGCTCTTCATTTTCTGCTTTGAAACATTGAGGCAAACAGGACCAAGATGATTCAATGAACAAAGGCACAGTTACTGCATGGTACCTCCTCGCAGCTTCTCAAAGACAAGGTAGTATCTTGTGTCATCTTCAAAGAATTCTATTAACTCCAAAATGTTCCTTTAAAAAAAGAAAAAAAAAAGGTAAATAGAAAGAAACAGGCAAAGAGTGTAAACAGAGCAATGAAGAGTTTCAGCATGGATAATTAGGAAGAGCCAGAAGTAACCAAAAAGAAAAGTTCTAATTAAACAAGTTGCTTTGGTTGCCTATGGCATTGAAACCGCATTTCCAACTTGCACTAACATTTAAACAGGGGGGAAACGGGCCAAGCAGCAAAAGTCAGACAGGATTGTGAAAGAGTTCTGCTACTGCTCAATCTACAGGAAGATAACTGGTAATAGGTTGCATTTAATAATTTAGAATGTTGCATTTGTGCTGAAGGCAAGAACAACAAAAAAATTAAATTGGCATTCTTTCTCTCTGGAAATTGCAAGGCAGAATACACAGGGCTGGAAGGAGACAGGCATCTATCAACATGATGTTAAATCCAGTGCCTTAATTGCTATTTTTAGACGAACTCCTGTTTAGCTAGTGTACAGTCTTTGCAGCACAACTCAAACACCCCGTGATGCCTTGAGAAAGTCAAATGCGTAAGTCAGATTTTTCTATACTTACAGTACAAAATTCAAATTCTCCATGTAGTCATGAGAGCCTGAGTTTTTCATCAGTTATGTACTGGATGACCATATGCTCTTAACCACACACAGAACAAAGAAAATAATCTGCTTCTCTATAGCACAACTTCAGCCCATGAGTTTGGTAAACAAGTTTGTTTTTAAATTATCTGTGTTGTACTAAGAATTTGTAAAAAAAGGCTCGATATAAGCTGCACAATTGTAGTACAGATAACAGCTGTTGTCTACATTCTAGCTTAGCAGAGACATCTAAAGGAGTGGTTTCAGAATTGGCTTAAACTCATCACAGAGCATGCTGCCACTGGCTGCATAGTCTTTCCCTCTGTTTCAGGCACAAGTAGCAGCTTTAAAGTTGCTTCATCCTGTGGCTATGTGAAGTCAGCACACATCCAAATGAAAACAAAATTAGCTGTTGGCTGATCTGAGAGTTCCAGTGCAGAAGCAGGAAGGCTGACACAGAGAGGAGGACAAATCACACATTAAGGAAAGGAATGGCAACTCTTCCTTTCCACAGCAGCTGGTATCAGGTCAGCTTTTGCTGATGGTGAAATCACAAGGGAGAGAGTCAAAATGTTAATTCCTCTTTCAGGCAAAAGCCATGCATCACTGACGCACGCTCAGGCTACACTGACCTAATTGCTAGTTATGTGATTTTTTTTCATTTGTATATATTCCCCTAAATTTCACAGGTATGAGAAGGGGAAAATCTTATTTTGAATAGGCCAAGTCTAAATTTCAACTGTTTTTAAGGAGACTACTGCAAAGCTCCTAACCTAGTCACACATAAGAGGCTTACAAATTTGAAAAAAAATATTCAAGATAATTTAAACAAACACAAGACTATACTTACTTGTTACCTTGACATTGGTACAGCGTTTCTATTTCACGAAAAACCCGACTCCGACTATGCCCAGCATTTTTTTCAATGATCTGTGGGAAAGAAGCTCGTATTTGAAAAATTATTGCAGGAACTGTGCATGTGGCTCTGGAATTAGATAACTGATCGAAAGCTTGAATCTCAAGCATGCCCACCAGAGAGAAACACTCCACCTTTGTTTGTCTGTTTAACTTCTCATCTGTCATTTATTTACAGTGTCAGCAAAGCTCTGGAAGGCATTCAAAAGACAAGAGACATAAGGACAGGAAGAAAAGAAAGGAACTAAATCCACATGTTACACAGTCTCTGAACAGTTACCACAAGCTTTTTCTTGCATCATTTTAACTCTGGAATGTTAAGAAAAGGATATCCTTTTGAGTTCTAACAAAAATAGATTTGAGTCACATCGGACACTGAACAGTGAAAAAGAGATTTGTCATTACAGGCATTTAAGTAAAAAGTACTAAATTCACCACAAAAGGAGAGTTTGATTCATAGTGCAAATTTAATGGAGAGCAAATAATAGGACCTAACATATTAAAGAAAATGTACGTTGAATCTCAGAGCCCTTCTGCATTGCCATCAGAAGTCACCTTCCTTCACGCACTCCTCAGACTGAAAGGGGACAAGAGCTTTCCACAGAGGCTGAGATCGAACGATTGCTACGTGAACTGAAAGCTCATGACATTACTGCAAATGCTACCTCCACCTGTATCCAGTATCTGTTTCTCATTTCTACAGCCAGAGTTCTCCGGTACGGAATGGGCAACCATTCACCAGTACTACATGGGACTTGGTATCTGATCACGCCTAATTCATAATATAGTGATTTGTTTATTCCAGACTTTCAGATTCAATAATTCTACAAAGTACATGCAAAGTTATAGCATCTACAGGACTCAATTTTTAAAGAGGCTTAAAATTTTGTGCCTATGGCTTTTGCAAAATAATCAAGTATAAAGCTTTCCTATTACTATTATTTGTGTTTGTACTTAAATAGGGGACTCAGGGTAACTTAAGTGGGCCCTAACACTTCATATAATGGTACTAGAAAAGATTCACCTCTATCAGAAAAAAGAAGAGACAGCTTTACATGAACTAATGGTAGTAACTGATGCTCTCTGAACTCTGAGCAGCATTCTCAAAAGCTTGTATATTTGGTAGGCCATGCTAGATGATGACTCAGTCTCTTATTTCACAAGAGGAAATAAAAACTGGTAGGACTACAATCAAATCAGGACACAAGTGAGAGCCTGCCCTGAGATCTAACCATCACACAGTCATTTACTGTTTGTGAATTCTATCTGCTGCTGATAAACCAGTTCACTCGAGGCACAATACTAAGACGACAGATATCTCAACAGTTATAAAACAGGCTCATTTCAAGCATCAAAAGATTTTCTAAAAGCTTTTGTTATTGCCCACTCAATTATAGGTTGCAACTGAGATACTAAGAGGGAGAAGACATGTTACAGACAGAAATGATGCTGCTTTTACTCTATGCTTACTTTTACTGCATATTCTTTCCCAGTTTGGAGGCTGACAGCACCCTGAACTTTGGCATATGCTCCTTCACCAAGAAGCTCAGCAGTCAGCTTGTACAAGTCTGCCAAAGAAATCCAACAGAAAGGACACATTAGACAAAACATTTCAGTGAATAACATCAAGACAAGCTATTTATCTGATGAGCATCCTTCATATGACAGCAACTGAAAAAATTCCCTTGGTAATGAAGACAGAAAATAGATTTATGCAGCATTAAAGTAGATGTGCCAGCCTTAATTATGCCTCATTTTTCACTTCCCCCCCTTCAAGTTCCAGGAAAATTTAAAGTAGACTTCATTCCAGCATCAAAATTACAAGTTTGTTCATACAAGAAACATTTTGTATCTCAGCAATTGCTAGGACCTCATCCATCTTGCCTGTTTTTATGTAAAACTCAGAACCAATTTTTTCAGGTGGAAAAAAATTCCCTCCTTGATCAGAAAAGGCCTATCAAACAAAATCTACTTGCAGAAATAGTGTTTTAAGTATAGTTTAAATTTGAGTGCTTAAACCTAGAAGACTGCTACCATCTTGATTTGCAATGTACCTTACAATGCTGCTTGCCCACTAAGAAGTTCTATGCTGGTCAGCTTTGTCACTGAAGTGTATTTTACCTACAATGCTTCACAGTATTTGTGTTCACATCTATTCAATCAAAACATTTTGACATCAGCACTGTTTCTACAAAACAAAAAAAACAACAAAAACCCTCACCACCAAACCAAAACACACCACCAGATTATGAATAGGACTCAGATTTCACCACTAAGAAAGAGACTGAAGACTGAAACATAGGGGATAAAGAAAAACAGAAATGCTAACTTATGTTTGCCAAAGAGCAATGTTTAGCTAAGAAAACTGAGAACAGAGGGAAAACAGACCATTACAATTAAAAGCTTAGAAGTTGCCACCAACCTTCAAACTTCCCAGGGACATGATCTGTGGCTCTGGTTCTTTTTTTCTTTTTCCTTTTCCCATTGTCTGCTATGGGAAGAGGCTGACTGCTGACCATCTCTGCATGGCAGAACATAAAGGTGCAATCAATTACTTTAGGAGAAAATGAACATGCTTTTGTGTCTTTATGTTCTTAAGCTATCCAAAAGTTTCTCTGCTTCTCTTCATCACAGGCTGCATCTCTCTGTAGGCTGCCATCTCTCCCCTAAGTATCAGAGGAAACCTAAAAAGAGAGTTTGGGTGCTAATTAACAGCTCTGGGGAGGTTTGATAAACAATGCGAAACCAGAAGAAAATAACTATGCATCTACAGTGAATGCTCCTCTCACAGTACAGTAAGGCAAAGTATGGGAATAACCTTATCACCAATCACCATGAGTTACCCACAACATAATGCATGTGCTGATGCAAGACAGGATTTACAGCCCCCACAAGGGCACTATTCTTTGAGCTATTCTGTGGTTTTACAAGCAGATTTTTTTTTCAACTCAGCTTAAGAAAATGAGCTTCCAAAACAGGAGGAAGGTGTGGGGAAATTTCAAACAACCCAGTGAAACAAAGCAACCACAGCAGTTAACAGGTCAAAGGAGCAATCTAGGTCAGTTTATGCTGCCAAAAAGCCAGGAAAAAACATTTCTCTCAGAACCGTGATGTGCCTTTCTAAACCACAGATCAGTGGATTACTTACGCTCCAAAACAAGTGGGTTTTTATGGTATTTAGATATTTTTTCCTGCATTACTAGCTGCAGATATTACAAGAGCTTAGTCAGCGATAACAATTCACTGATGCAAGATAGCACAGCAGAAAAAGAAAACACACCCACATATTCTTATGGAAAGCCTAAATAAAAACATTGCCATCCAGTTTCTCTGCCAGAGGCTGCTTCATACAGCTAACCTATCTCCAAAAAGGTTAAATGATTCCACACTATAATTACATGAACACTTCTCTGTAACACCAGTCACATCTTGCCAAGTTGGCCCTAACAGTTAAAAATCACGGCTCAAGGTCTTTGAGGAAGTAGCAAAGCATTGCTAAGATATTTTACAGCCAGGAGGATTTCTAAGTAAATTCACAATTAAAGATCTTGTACTACAGAAAAAAAATATCCCTAGAAATAGTGTAATTATGAGAACACTGGTTTTAGGGCTTGCTCTTCTTTCACTACCAATGACAACAAAGCTTTCTGGCAATTCTCCTTTAACAGAGAGCCTGTGTGAATAGCAGCTTTCTGCCTTTCACTTTTTCTAAAGTACTCTTAAAACACAGGAAAAACTCAAAGGCAGAAAACATTACACAACAATCTACCAATACATGAAATACTTTTCCTCTGCTTCGTTGTATTTCTCTTGTCAATATCTGTCAATAATAATAGCTATTATGAGTGTGACTTAGAACTCACACTTCATCTGAAAATTTAAGACAAGTGCTATTTTGAAAGCCCTTTCTCTTTAACAACTTACTGAAACAATGCATCACTCAAAACCCCAAGACAATAGTAAATCCTCATTTCAAGTCTTAAGCAGAATGTGTTAAGAAATCAACGATGGATGACACATGCAAGTTCTTCAATACAAAAGCATTCATTTTACCAACTTCTAAAGCAACAGCTTCTTTTTAACTCAAGCTTACAACCATACAGTTTTGAATTTTAACATAGAGAAGCTATCCTTTGACAGCAAGTTGCAGCTCTCCCCAATTTCAATTCAGCCTGCATTAGAAGTTATTCAGACTTGGGATTGAAATGACACATATGAAGCTGCTCAGAGAAAGCTGATCTGCTTGAAGGAGATGCTTGATTTTCAGGCATCAAACAAGTCATTTTCACAACCTGACCTTCTGCAAGTCAACAAGTCATACCTAAACACGTTCTATTCCATTTCAAATACTGCACGGTTTCAGAGCTTGTAACAGAGGCTAAAAACTATGCAAAAAGACAGGAAACGAATCCTGCATCTTAGCACAGCTGACATATTTCTTCACAACCCTCTCCTGCACTCTACCAGTTGGTTATGATATTTACAGTCAGGTGTTTAATAACTCACTACATTATTTCAATTCCCTTTAGTCTGACTCAATTCCTAAATTACAAAGAACTGCTTCCTTGAAACCAGGAAGTTCACGAGTCACATATACAGAAACCAAATTACTGAAAAGCTGTTGTTTTCAACCTATAGTCTCGACCAAATTTACTATCAGACAGGTGTGAAGTGTTTGCTATATTAGATTCTTATTACCCTTGTAGTCTGCTATTTCACATCATCGTGTAGTTTACTTCTGTCAACACAGCTTTTCCTTTAAAGGTATCACAGCTTCATTATCATTATTCACTTTGTTACAATGAACCAGTACTTAAGTAACAGCTGGTATGACAAGAAAATGCCTTTAGCCCAGCCAAATGCTTTAGAGGTTTTTCAAGCTTTCAAAGAAATGCTTGTGTTTCTGTGACTGTATACCAAAGAGTTTCAAATGACACTGAAAGAGCATGCCTCAACCATCCAAGCAATATTGAGGTGTTTAGCACACTGCAGGGCTACGTCTGGTGACAAGGACACTGTGGGTTCTGAGGAAGCTCACCCTGCCAGACAGAAAGCTCCGAGACTGGATGAAGTGCTCTGGAGGGTAATGGTCCATGGACACATCAGGTCCAAGATGAACATTTAACTGTTGTCATTTTAAGGTCATTTTACAAAGTAGCC